CGCCAGTGAGCGGCAGGGGGGGAAGGGGGGGGGAGAGAGAGAGGTGCCCCAGACTCAGCGGCAGCCAGCAGCGACAGCCTCAGCAGGAACAGCAGCAGCCAACAGCAGCAGCAGCCAACAACAATACTAGCAACAGCAACAACAGCGGCAACAGCAGCAGCAGCAGCAGCAGCAGCAGCCGGAGGGTGAGGGTTGGTGCCTCTAGTAGAGGCAAGTGCAGGCGGGCGAGTGGGATGGCTGCAGACGGCAAAAGCAATGGCGACAACAGCAGCAGCAGCAGCAGCGCTCACAGAGCACGGCCGCAGCCTCAGCGGGCGGAGGCGCAGGCGCCGCCGCCGCCGCCGCCGCCGCCTTCTGTCCGACGACACGAGCGTGTCGCCTCCATCAGCAGCATCAGCAGCAGCAGCAGCAGCAGCAGCAGCAGCAGCAGCAGCGGCAGCGGCAGCGGCAGCGGGAGCAGCGTCCGGCTAGCGTCGGGCGGGGGAGGGATGCCGCCGCTGCCGCCATTTGTCGAGGAAGAAAAGCGAAAATCCGCGGCTGCTTTCGTGGCGGTTAAGGGTACGAGGATGAACAACGTCACCAACAACAACGACAACAACGACAACAACACCGACAACGGCATCGCGCGCTACGGGACCATGGGCGGCGGACGCGCGCGGGCCACCGCCACCGCCGCCGTACCCGCAACCGTATCCGCTGCTTCCCCGCGGTCGGCCTCCGCGGCCATGGCCGCCGGTGCTGCCGCCGCCGCGGCCGCCTCCGCCGCCGTCTCCACCGACGACGATACCTCCGAGGGCGGGACGGCGACCCCGCCGTCGCCGCCGCAGGCATCACCGGCGGCGACGACCATGGCGTCGGAGAGGAACAGCCCGGTCGCCTTCCGGTCCCTGGCCAGCACTCCCCGCAAGGCGCGAATCCTGCTCGGGCTCGAGCATCACGATGTCGTCGCCTGCGCGCCGAGCCCTCCCAGTCGGATCGGGGTCAGGCGCCTGAGCGGCGGAGGGGGCGGAAAGGTGAAGGGCCCGGACGGCACCAGGTTTCTGTCTGGCGGCGGCGGCGGCGGTATCGGCGGCGGTTCCACTTTTCGGATGATGGCCGGGGCCAGCAGTGTTTTCCACAGCGGGAGCAAGGGTAACAACAACAATAACAACAACAACAACAACAACAACAACAACGATGATGACCCGAATTCGATCAACAGCCTCTCGACCGCCACCTCGACGACGTCCTCGTCGTGCTGCGGCAGCACCGGGGGCTCCATGTGTGGGGGGAAGGGGTGCGGCGGGGGCTCCGGGTTTTGCGGGGCAGGGGTGGGGTCTAGGAGCCCGTGCTGCGGGGCCACCCCTCCTCCTCCTCCCACCAGCGCCGCCGCCGCGGCCGTCGCCGCCAACCCCGCCCATTTCACCGGTATTACTTCCGTCGGTGGCTTCGGTCGTGGTGGTAGCCTGCGGCCGGCGATCGAGGCCGCGGAAGAGGCGCTGGCGGCGGCGACGGTAGCGGTGTCGCCGGTGGACGGCACCCCCCCTTCGTCTTGCCCGTCTTATTCTCCTCGCGGCATCACCGGCCGGCCGTACGACCGCCACGACGCCGCCGCCGACGCCGTTGCGGCTCCTGCCACCGCCCCCGCCGGAACGGGGGAGGGCCGCCGCGTAAGGACCGCGAGCGGTGGCGACAGCACTCGGCTAGCGCTGCCCCGGTGGACGCCGGGTGAGGACCTAGCCTCTGGAGCAGCGGCGGCGGCGGGGACGGAAGGGGGGGATGGTATTACGTCGTCGCCCCCTACATCGGCAACATCTGCCGAAACGCCAGCGACGGCAGCGTCGCACCGGTCGTTCTCCTCCCCCCCCGACCCTCCGACGAGAGAGTCAATCTACGGTGCCCCTCAGGCCGCGACAGAGGCGGTGGTAACGACGGGTCGACAAAGTGGTGGGACGACGGGGACGGGGTTCCTACCGCCGCCGCCGCCACCGCAGTATGTTGCCGGCGAAGGGGATGCATCGTTTCTTACGCCGCCCATGTCCTCGGAAGAAGCTGGTGCTGCTTCATCTTTCATGATGCCCGCTAGGCCTACCCGAGAGTCGATCCACGATGCCGTTAACGCAGCAGCGGCCGCCGTGGAATCCTCAGAGGCGGGGGTACAGTCGCCGCCGCCGGTGGTTGACTCATCTACGGCGGCATCAACGGCGGCGGCGGCGGCGGCGGCGGAAATAGGGGCGGCGATTGGGGCGGAAGAAGACGATGAAGAAGTGTGCCTAGGGTGGAGCTCGCGGCCCTCCGCCTCCTCGTCCCCTCCGTCGCCCTTGTCGTTCCCGCGCAAATCCTCCTCCTCTCACGCCATGTCCGCCGCCGCCGCCGCCGCCGCCGCCGCCGCCGCCGCCGCCGGGTGTGCAGATCCCATGGACAGCTACCGCACCCGCGAAGGAGCCGACGCCAGCACAGGCGACAGACCCGGCGGGAACGGTGGCGGCGGCGCTGGCGGCGGTGGCAGCAGTGATAGCAACCCCACTCGAAGGACTTTCCTTCCCCCGGCACCCCGCACGGTGAGCGGGATGGTGGCTTCGACCACCGCCGTTCAGGGCGAGAGGACTTTTCAGACGGAAGCTGGGGATCGGGCGGGAGCGGGGGAGGGGAGCCGGATTGGCTTTTCTTCTTCTTCGACGGCGGCAGAAGGTCCTGGAGGAACGGCGCTTGGAGGTGGGCCAAAAACGAGGCAGGAAAAACACCCTGAGGCAAAAAAATACGGAGAGGTGTTCTTTTGCCTGTGTTGTTCGCATTACCTTCATGGGTACCACGAAGTTCTTGGTGCTGTTTTATCTCAGAGAAACATCGCACGTGTTGTGTAGTACGGAGACATGCATAGAGGGGTGCAACGCAGAGCCTACCCGCTGCGGCATCACGAGCTCTTGTTGTTGCTGTTGTTGTTGTTTTTGTTGTTGTTGTTGTTGCTGCTGCTGCTGATTAAGCTGTCGTCGTCGTCGTCGTTGTCGTTGTCTTGTCGTCATACTATTCCACCGACCTCTACCCGGTACCGTTGAGCATCTCCACTGCTGGCCCAAGGATGCGGACGCCTGCCTTATGTGGGCAAAGGCCAACTATCTACCACCCAGCAATGGCACTACATGCGTGACACCATGCTTTTAAGGCGAAGCACTCCTCCCTAGGGGGCACAACATTCGCGAAACCTTATTTTAAAGGCTAGCTACACCCGACCCGGGCGCTAAAACACTGCTGTACTTATGTACAACCATACTTCTGCGTTTTTCTTTTTGCCTGTCCCCTGCTTCCGCTCCGTCGACAGGCGGCCAGTATCCGCTGTCCCCCATGCCGCGGATCCTGCCCAACGCTTTCAGGACATCCCCACAGGAAGCATCGTCAGCAGCGTCAGCAGCGTCAGCTGGCGAGGGCGGCGGCGGCGGCGGGATTCCAGAGGCGTTTGCCCTTGCCAGGGAGCGCGCGAAGGAGCTTCGACCCCTTGGGTCGCCCAGGGCGGCAGCGGAGCTAGGGGGACTGTTGCGCCAGGCGAGCGAATCCTTTATTTATTTTGTTTTGTTTTTCGCCTCGAGGCCGAGATGGAGGCCCTCGACCCTCAATTCTGTTTCTCTATTTTTGGCGTCAATTTCTTTTCCTTCGATAGCTGCTATACTCTTTCGTTTTTTATTTATTTTTTTCCCAATGGTGCGGGGGCTCTGTGCACCCTACCGCGTTCTATTCTACCCGATCGTCGTCGGCATGTAGTCCTTATTGATGTCTATACGTGTCTATACGTGACACACTACGTTTGGTTTCCCCCGAGCTCGGAACGAGACGCACCAATCGACCGGTGTACGTAGTAGGTTTTTCATTTTTGTTATTTTAGTTTGAAGGTTTCGGCGGCCACGTTTCTGCAAAAGTTGGCGGTGATATTGTACTGTGTATGCACTGTAGCCTACACACAAGAACTCTTCCTTCGACTGTTTTCTGTAGAAAGAGATGGATTCGTCGTGTCACATTACGCAACAAAACAAAAACGACAAGTAAGACTGAGATGTTGGTTGTACCGTCATGCCCTGCCTACATACCGTATACATGACACAAGATACACCCCCCTTGACCGATTTTCCGAGCTCGATTACTCCACGACGAAGAGGATGCCGAAATCGAAGTATATTGTTTTCGGAAAGTTCTCGACGAGACGATGGTTCCAACACCGCCACTTCCGGCACCGTCCATGTTTTTCCCTCCGATAGATCGAGGTTCGAACACCGGTCCAGGGGGGGGGGGGGGGGGG